GTGATTTAATTCTTCTCTTAAAACTATAGATTCATTTGACCAAGTCATCTTATTTGCATGCTTTTTAGATCCAATTAGAATTCTCAAAGGTAAACTGTTTAAAGGAAAAGAAAATCCTAATGGAAATTTACTATAAAAACAGCATCTTTTATATAAATTCCTTTCAAGGCAATTCCACTTCTAGAATACCTTAACCTTATTATGATCTCTGGAAACATCTTTCACATCTCTGAGATCTTACCATAGCACCCTTTTCCCCTTGAGGACCTACTGCACCTGGACTTCCACGCTCTCCCTTTTAGAACAAAAAAAAAAAAAAAAAGAGAGAGAGAAATATTGAGGTATGTTAATTAGTCATGATTGAGCTAAGCCTAGACTGGAAAATTGTTGTCAGTCATAATCATATCTTACATGCATATCTCATTCCTAATTTACTAATTATTTTAAATCTACAAAATTTGCATTTTTATCCTAAAATTGGTAGACTTTTAATACAATAAAAATCCTCTTACAATATTTTTCAAGGGATAAACTATTAAAAGTCTTATTAAAATGAATAGAAATTATGAATAAACAGGACTTAAAAAAGATTGTGTATCATGTGCTAGTTTGTAAGTAAAAATGCTTATAATTTTGAGACAAAATATAAAAAAGGTAGTAAGGCATATTGCAAATATTAACTAACCTGAACACTGAACAAAATTTTATTTCTGTAGTCTTTCCACCACAATTAAGTATAATCATGACAGTCAAATATGCAATAGCAGATTAAAAAGATTAAACTAGTTCACATTAAAATTTCCAGGATTGTCAAAATCTTAGTGTAAAAGTTTTGACTTAGTCCAGAAGTAACTAAACAAGAATGAAAAAACTATAAAACTAAAATTGTTTAACTAGCTCATTTTATTATTTTTATATTGTTATACTAAAAATCAATGCTATATTGCTAATAAAAATCAATAAATATATATTAAGCACTTTTAATGTAATAAGTGAATTGGAGAGAGAGAATAGAAATTTGACTTAGAGTGTATCCTTAGTTGGAGACATGACATTAACAAAGTTGAATCAATTCCAGCACAATTAAATGTTAAATTATCTGGCACTTTAAGTCCAGGAAGGAAAGAAATCAGGAAAAATTTGAAAAATCTGGGAAGACTATATGGAAGAGATAGGAATTTGAGTCCTACAAATTGGCTTTGAATAAAGAGAGGGAAGAGGAGAGGATATTCTAAACCAAAAAATAGCAAGACTAGGAATAGGAACAAGTATATGAGACAGGGAAGAGAGGAAGGTTTATACTGG